GAAGAGTCAATCCCTAGCGTTCAAATTGACGCCGAAACGGAAGGGATTTTCACTTTCTGAAGTAAAGCTGAGGGTGGCATCCATTATTGCTTCGTATATTCAGTCACGTTTTGGCGCCCCGGGTTAATTTTGCGCCCTGTGCGGGGGCACATGTGGCACATGCCTAAGGCCGACCCAGGTAATGTAATGTCCCGACGTAAAGTAGCGGCATGGTGTCAGCGGTTTCAGAACGAACGGACGAATGTGACTGACGAAGAGCTAAGTGGCCTCCCGAGCTCGTCCTGGCCAGAGGACGATCTCACACGCGTGGAAGCTCATACCCAAGAGGATAGACGACTCACTGTACGAGCTGTAGCTGCTAGACTTAATCTATCGTACAAAACCACGCATGACATCATCCATAATGTTTTGGGGTACCGGAAAGTTTCCGCGCGTTGGGTGCCAAAAGAGTTGAAAGAGGAACACAAGAAGAAACACATGGGCTGCAACTTGGCTAATTTGCAACAGTACTTGTTAGATGGAAACACATTCCTCTATCGCATCGTTACGGGCGATGAAACCTGGATCCACCACTCCACCACTTCACTTCCAAATCAAAGCAGGCACCAATGACGCGGAAGCACCTATCTTCGCTCGTGACAAAGAAGTTTAAACAGACTGCGGGCAAAGTGTTGGCAACTGTCTCTTGGGACCATGAAGGAGTACTGCTTGTGGAGTTTTTGAATCGTGCTAGTGAATCATGAACAATTGGTGCTGATGCATACTGTCAAACAGTACAGAGACGGCGTGTAGCATCCGACGGAAGCGCCCCGGGCTACTCACAAGAGGAGTCCTTTTATTGCACGACAATGTCCGTCCCCAATATTGCCTGCCAGACGACAGTCATTGGAGCAATTTCAGAGGGAAATCCTTAATCATCCTCCATATGGTCCCGACCTGGCACCCAGCGACTACCACCTCTTTGGGCCTATGAAGAAGCGCCTTGCCGGTCGTCATTTCAAAACAGATGAAGAAGATGAAGAATTTGGGAAGCCCTTAAACAGACAGGACATAATGTTATTACGACTGGAATTGTCAAGATAGTTCGTCGGGAGGATAAACGTCTCAACTGTGGTGGAGATCATGTAGAGAAGTAGTACTATTATACTATAATATGCATGCACGCGCAAAAATATATTCAACATACACCTCTTGTAACTTAACTTGCCGATCAACCCTCGTAAGTATGAAAGGCGGTGACAAGCATTGATCACCGTGGTGTCACTTTTCTCACATTAACGAAAACGGACAGATATGAGGCAAACACACTATGTCACATTTGTGTCAACATGTGCTGTTCGGGTTGCGTTATGTATCTGTGCCAGAGAAGGCTTGAATTGACCGTGACTTCAAATTTTTATTTCCTCAACACTTAAACCCATTTATAGCGTTTGAACGGAGCAATGCGATTTGGTACTACAAATTCTTTTTTTTTCTCGGACACCGTTCGGAAAAGAAGTCCCGAAAAAAAACGAATTCTCTATCGAAAGGACCCCATCCCGATTGTTAATAAGACAAACATTCTCTCACATGGAAAGAGCGCATAACAGCAGACCCGGCTGACACCTTCCTCAGCCCAGCAGTGATCCTTCGTTCTTCGCATTGTACAACTCCAGCGGTCGTGGCGTAACTCAAGTACCCATCACCATCACCATCTAAAAAAAGATTATAACTAAAGCAGGACAAACAAGGGGAATCTTTATATTTCCCTTGGTTCACAAAAAAAAAATTCTACAGGAAAAAGAAAACCTAGCCTGAATGGTGAAAAATTTTCCGTCATTTGTCACGCCTTTATGACCTCGTGTGGCCTTTGCGTTGTCGAAGCGGCAACGCGCGTCGACAGGTGTGGCAGGTGTATTCTTGTCCCTCTAGACCTTAAATACTACAACAAGGACATTTCGATGATGAGTTTGCAAGAATTAACATTTTTCAGGAAAATGCCTGCATCGTTTCAGCTTGCAGAATATCGAGTAATTTGTCAGTAACCTAAATGTAATAAGCCATAATTTTGCTTGAAATCTTAGTGAATCAGTAAAACCAATATCATTAATAAAACCTCCCAGAAATTTCAGCATTCGGAGGAACAATAAAAATATAATGGACTGGATGGTCAGTGAACTGTCAAGAGTGCAACGGCGCTTCGTGCTTGCGCTGCACGTATTCTAAATGAAAGGTAGAGGTGAATTTTTCCTCCGGAGAAACATCATTTGCAAATGTAACATCACACTCAAAATGCCTAAATTCGAAGTGCAAAACACGAACACGACGAGCATTAAATGATAGCACAACAGCTTGAGAAAACACTGAAAGGGGAGCTAGTTATAATTAGGAAAACGTTCGAAACGGGGTCGATGCCATGGCAGAACGATGTCCTTTAAATCCAATTGCGCAAGTGGATATGTCTTGTGGAAATTGGCATCAATAGCGGACTTCGCGTGAGAATCTCCTGAAGATCATCTGATTGAAAAGATCCAAGTGTCTATATCCTGGACTCTGCACCATTCTCCCACAAAGAAGGGGAGAGCATGGATGAGCATGGATGGAAGGTCGCATTGTTAGTGAACATGAAAAGGTGTGTCTTCCTCTCCCTATTCGGGTGCAGTGACGTCAACAGGGCTTGTGGAATCCCCAAATCTATTGACCAGAAAGATCTTTATTTTTTTCGATCCTTTTCTCTCCCTCGCGCAAGTACAGTGAATGGAGCCACGAAATGGCACACTCACAAATATCAGATTTCCACATGGGGATCCGTCGATAATCCCAGCCCCTCCGAGGGTGTTAAGAGCATCCTTTTTTTTTTTATCTTGAACCCCTTTTTGAATGGGGAGAGATTGCACAACAACGAGATTCTTTTCGAGGGTCTCTCCATTGTCCTCTGGACAAACTGACTGACAAGCCCTTTCACATGTAAGCACACACATTTTCCCAGTATATATCTCGTGGCATCATATCGATTTTTTTCCCTCTTAAAAATACAACCAGGTGAGGGATGCCATGGTTCAACGAGGTAAATACGCAATAAAGTGGGATTAGTCTCGTCTAGAGCCAAGTGGAGCTGGACAATTGCGATCCTTGTTCCCCTTCATTTTCCACCCTAAATGAGTCTCATTTTCTGCAAATACTGTAACTGGATAGCCCCATAGACATACCAAGCTTAATGAAAATCAGACAGATTCATTATACACAGCTCTGTCGGTCGTATTTTTCCCGTTACATTGGACAATACGATGGCATTGCTTATTTGCTGCCTTGCCTTTCTCAGAGTTGTAGAAACAACGCACTAATTCAACACAGCAGGTTCTCGCGATACGATTTAGCATCTTTAACTGAGTACCTCGCACGACGCTCTTTACTTTCGCTGCACGATGCATTGCGGGACGATGGATATTGATGTGATAATATGGGAAAGGAGGAGTAGGGGGAGTAGCCCGGCTTTGCCGATATGAAGAGAGGAAGTATATTGAAGGGGAGAAGTGAAAAGGAATTCGTCTTTTACGCAATACATTCAGACAGGCAGGTGATGAGGATGCTGGTGTCAGATAGGCCAAAAGGATCCAATGCAGGAGGTTTTATAGGCTCTGGCTCTCTTTCTTCTTCCCTCCTTTCTTCCTTCTTGTCTTTCTTACCCCTAACACGCAGGTTTGCAGATGCCAAAAGGGAGTCCCCTATGAAGGGGCAGCCCCCTCTGGTTCTTAATGATCCGTGTCACTCGCACAAACTGGCCATCCTAGAACAACGGGCTTCTGTACGGGACATGCTATGGAAATGCACGTGCAAGGGAAAGCGTTTATGGGACGAACGAGAAAACAATAATATTTGGTTCTCTGCAAGTTTTCCATCTCATCCTTGCACGATGCGGAACAGAATTTTTGTCTTCTTCGGAATTCCCAAAAGAAGTATTGACCGATGAGGTACAAAGTGTAGGCATGTTTTGTCGGTATGTAGAGAACATAGGCGTACATAGACAGTGGATAGGAAGTGAGGTATCTGATGCAGGAGGAGGAGGATTGATGAGTCTCCTTTTGCTCTGGGTGTCGGGTTCCAGCACGCGTCATTAGACACCAAATCTCTGCATGCCACCACCCTTCTTCTTCAGGTATACAACATCGGCCCAGAATAAATACACGAAAACAACGTCAAAATATGACAAATTCCTCCGTAATGCATAAAGTATAATTTGTTTCCGTCCAAGAAGAAGAAAAAACTGAGCTCAATCGGATTGGTGTAAGAAAATAAGGAAAAGATTAATTATAGCTCGACTATCGAAGGATTTATTCTCAAATAGATTCCGCAGTCTACGTCCGCTTCCCTTAACAGCAACCAAAATGTCAGTTTTTCCGTTTGAGAATCGCTCTGACCGATTCATTTCGTTAATCTTTCAAAAGAATCGATATATGTCACCCAAAAATTACCATAAAGCTCCCTCTCTCTGCATTCCGCCGAATCGCTTGTTGTGACGATAACGAGGGTTGAGCAGCCTCCTGTCGGCGTTCTCGCACATGAGGGGTCGGTCATTTACAAGGATGATGAGCGTCTAATTAGTTTCGGGTGTCAAGGATAAAGGAGATCGTTGACGAAGAATCATTAGGCCACATTCGTAGTCACTTAACACCTCCCGGAATCATCCTTCAACATCACAGGAGGAAAACAAGAAAAAGTCCGGGATAGTCTCATTCATTTCCCGCTCATTCTCAGATTCTCAACTCATGGAACCTACTGAGTGCCATCTCATCCAGGCCCCGCCCACCCACGTGGAATCACCAATGGGCGGGCGCGGAGGGTGTGAGCAACGGAATATGGTCAGCCAATCGGATGCCGGGATCCGTTTGTTATCGAAACCTTGCAAATGCAGAGATTCCAGGCATGCACTTCAGTCTTGAAGGGGTAGGATTTCTGCAAACATTCCTCTTTGAAATGTGATCAGAGGTGGGATCAGATATAGGACGCCATACGGCCTAACCATGGTCCCTTCTCCTCCTCTAACTGTAACGACTTCTTCTACCACCCCTCCTCTGGAACCCAACAGCGTCACTCCCCCGTCATACAGTCTGACTCCAGGAGGCTCTCATTTTCAAGACAGCTTCCAAGCAGCTGAGGCACGGACATACGAGCAACTCGGCCCACCTCCATCCCACATGATCCCGGATCCATCTGCGCCCTTGCTGGAGGAGCCGAAGCAGCCAGGACCCACGAATCACATGATCATGACTCTAGTCAGTGCTGAAGATACAGTGAAAAGCGATTATCAACTTCCTCCGCACCAGCGGCTACCAGCCTATCTTCCCAACGGTGCGGTGAAACTGGAACCGAATGAAAATGTGGGAGTGAGGTCTCAACCTTGTCTGCCTGGGGACACCCACAACGGCAACAAACTGGATTTTTTGAGCCTCCAACAGATCAACTGCATTTGCCAGACCCTGCATCAGGCACACGAAATCGATCGCCTCGCCAATTTTCTCAATTCCCTTCCCAAGAACCTGTTGGTGGACGGAGGAGAAGAAGTGGTCCGTGCAAGAGCTACTGTCGCATATCATCGAGGGGAATATCGGGAGTTGTACTCCATCCTGGAGTCCTTTCAGTTCTCGTCAAGGCATCACCCGGAACTCCAGAGTATGTGGTTGAGTGCACATTACAAGGAAGCCGAGAAGACCAGAGGTCGACCTCTGGGCGCAGTGGACAAGTACCGATTGCGTCGCAAGTTCCCACTCCCCAAGACCATCTGGGACGGAGAAGAGACTATATATTGCTTTAAGGAGAAAAGTCGCATGGTCTTGAAGGAGTGCTATCAAAGGAATCGCTATCCGACTCCGGAAGAGAAACGGAATTTGGTTCGCAAGACGGGACTCACGCTGACTCAAGTTTCTAACTGGTTCAAGAATCGACGTCAACGTGACAGACCTGGACACCGAAGGTTCGTTTAAGTCTTGATGGCATTTGGTAAAAACTATATGAGGCAAGGAGGTCTTTATTCTGTGATTGATCATATGGACCTAAAAACGACGTCTGCACTAGACTGTACCGGTCGAGCTTATATTTGATGCATGTGAGAATCTTCTGTTTGTAAAGTTCATGACTATGCAGCAAGTTTGAAATTATTATTTTTTTACTCTTTCATTTCCGATAACAAGAGCTAACTGTACCTACGTTCCACCACGTTGCCCGAAGAAATTATATGAACCTCTATGAATGAAAATGACGACATAGAAACATTGATCCTGATATACCTGTGCATGAATCACGAGTGCCTCGTAGCCTACGTTATGAAAGGAGTGAGTGAAAGATTGAATTTACGTTTAGCACATACATCCATAGAATTATTTGCCTCTCTGTAAAAAAAAAAGCATCCCAGTCCCGCACTCATTTTAGGCTCTGGAAACAAGCTATATGTTTTGCACTAACAACAGCCGTTTATGGTGTTACAAACGAGCACATGTTTTGTGCTAAAAGTAGTATTCCCTCGGTAGCAAGCAAAGGCCCTAGAGGGAATCCGTGATGGTATCATAAATTAGGGGGAAGTGTGTCTAGAGGAAGCAAGAGTTATTCGTGTCGTTTCCATTTCCTTTTTGCGGTGGCAGACCTGCAGCAGCCTTCGTCTTAAAAGTCTACAATGTCCCGGTATGGTTACAATGTGCCATATAGTTTGTGTACATGTGATGGCCACATGTAACCGAGCGCCAATTACCAAGGTTCGTCATTACTCAGGCTTTCAGGCTCTGGTTTCCGACAGCTCTGAAATGGATGGGACCGCGGCATTATCAGACCCAAGCTCCCTTTCTTTCCTGCCTTCACTCGACCACAAGCTCCACTCTTTATGACTGGTCAGGTCCCTCTGACCGGGGTGAAAGGATGACCTCTTAATCCTCTCAGACGCGAGTTCACCCATCCCTCCCAGATGAATGGGACTCGAACCAGTTGCCGATCGCGGAAAAAATATATAGGCCTATACGTGCATATTTATTTGGAATTTCCCAACAACGGCATTTGGCACTTAAGCGTCTGGTGAAATCATGAAAATTACTTCCAAGACAGGTAATTATTTTTTTAGAGTTCTTGATTTCCGAAAGTATGCAGTCAAAACACAAAAAATTATTTGAAAGCGATAGGAGCAACAAAGAAAGAGATGCGTCGATGACTGAAACGGAAATGCCGACACGCGTCTCCCTTCCGCTGAACGAGAAATCCCAAAGACTCGATAATGCTTCTCTCGACGCGAACGTGTTAATTTCTTCTTATCGAGGACCAACGCAGGAAAACGAAATTTTGAGCTTCCACATAATGCATATTTAGTGTTGGAGGAGTAACATTGAAAATGTAGGTACGTGGTACAATCAGAAGGAAACGCCTCAAAATTGCAAAGACGGTGGTTTTTCGTTCGAGTCTGAAATGTTTTCACTTGACACGGATACTCATGCAATGGTGCACTTCCCATGCATGGGTGTCCGGGTCAAGTGCAAAAATGACTGACTTCAGTGAGAAACACAGTAACAAAGCGAGTTGCTTCTTTCAAGTTAGCATTTCGAAGTAACTTTGGATTTCGAAAAGGAACAAAACACCTAGCACATCTCTTCAAAGTCTCCTGAAGATTTGTGAATCGGTTCGGTGCTAGCTTGAGTTCACGAATTAAACTGACATGAGTTCGACTAGTTACAGGCAACTGTGTCGGCGTAGGATTGCAAAGACGAAAATGAGAGGAAAAATTAGAGGGAAACCACGGAAGAGTGTTATTTTTCTATGAGGGTGCCCGGAGGGGCGGGAGTAAGACCTATATACCCTTGAGATGACATTGAAAGCCCGAAGGCAGTTTCCCATAGCCAACCCCTCCCCCCGTTGGCACATATGGATGAAATTTAGCCGGGGAAAAAGTGACATTTCCCCAAAAGATTAATGTGCGTGGTCCCATATGCCCTTGTGCGCGAGGGAGAGAGTCATAATTGATGAGGGTAAGGATCAGTGGAGGGATGGGGGGAGAAAGGGCAAACCCTGGACTTCTGGAAACACCACTCCAGCTTTCTCACTCATTCTTTGTTTTCTTCCAGACCACTTTCTCCCTTGGTTTCCTAATTGGGACGGTTCCCTTTTAGAACTTGGCTCACCTTTTCTTTGTCAAAAAAGAAATTTAATCTGCCTGCACCCAAGGCTGGAGAGGCTGGACCACGAGAGGGTATACAGTTGACGAAAGAATGGAAGCATTCACCTTTCTCCATTATCTTTTGTCTTTTACAATACTTACATCATGATTATATTTAAATTCATATATTCCCATCGTGGTCCAATCACTTCTTTCTATGGTTCATGGTCTGCATCCAGGAGAATCCGAACGTCCAACTCACAGCGATTGAGGGCCTCTGGATGCAAATACAGGGTACCTAAAAATCGCAATCGATTTTATGTTTCCACAAAAAAGCAAGAACCATTTCGAGAAAAATACAATGCATTAATTAACGGTAGGGCAAGACATGAGGTAATGGCCACGTGGCGAAAAACATTTGGGATGCAAAACTGCGAGCAAAAATGGCTTTCTTGACGTTGTCTTTCAAAGCCTGACGTGCTTGTGGCCAATTGCATCCACCCACTACTTGTGATATTTTAAGCAAAATATCCAGAACAGACAGTTCAGGTGAGAGCACTGATCAGCAGATGTTACCAAAACGTGAAGTGGCCTTCCATGATGCCACCGCTGTTGCGAAGTTGACCCTATTGCAAACAAAGATTCATAAGGAAATAATACGGCATGTTTGATGGAATATTCGATTCTTATTCTGCTATTCGTCTTCATTGCTACGTTTATACTGTATAATCTGAAATGCTTTCTACTGTACGTCTTGAAATGCATTTCGGATATATTTTATCAAACAAAAACAATAATTGCACAAGGCGATGGATTCTTTTGATCCGGGGATTCAGCTCAAACAGCAGTATCCGAGTACACTCAACCACAAATAACAGAACAGAAGTCCTGCGTCATGGAAAAAGTTACCTCAGGTGCTAAAACTAAACATCTGCACCAGAGAATGTAATAAATCTTCTCGCAAAAAGGCGGCTGACATTTTGCAACACGTCCAATTAGATGTAAGTACACGCTCGAAGTATGTTGTCCTTTAACGCTTCAGCAATATGTGGACGGTTTATGTACAGTACAAGACACTTCTGAGGTGTCCCCATAGGAAAAAGGATAGCGTGAAAAGATATGGGGAGCGCGTGGCCATTCAACGGGTCCTCCATTTACATTGCATTGCTCGTCCTGTCCAAGTAACACAGTATGTTGATGGAACGCTTCCGAAATGTTGCCTATGTTGCTCTGTGTTATTAAAACATTGCTTCAACGTTTTTCACTTTTGCGCACTTGGAACGTTTCTGAGACACTTCTACGAACGTTACTGCAAAATTTTCTATCAATATTGAAAGAATGTTGACATTGACAACGTAGCGACAACATCCTGATATAACATGAACTTAGAAGTGTTAAGGAATTGTAAAGTTGCCTTCCAGGCTACTAGATGGAGGCGTAGGTCCCGCTTTTCGGACAGTACACAAAAGTATCTTCTCCCTTTCGCTGGAATCATCCTTCACAGGAGTGTTTGGTACCTTGCCATATGACTCACCTAGTCGCATTATAGGAATCAATGAACAAAGACATTTCAGCATTTGTTATCCCCATATTCGAGACTGATTCATGGAGCCCAGGCCAAAAGCAAGCTCATATTCCCTATAAGAAACCATTCCAATATCTAAGCGATATTATCCTGAAGGGAAGTAAGGAAATGATAGTAGAGAATCTATTAAATCAATCCTTCCACTTCTCAGAATGAGAAGAGGAAGGGCAGAATTTGTGGACACTCCATAGAACGTTATACCATATGAACCATTCTCTGAAATGTGCAATATTTGGCACATTGGTACATTTCGTACCAGAGATCGTCGGAGATATGGTACATTTCGTACAAAATGTACCAATCTCCAAACCATGATACGGGGACTGTATTGTGCATGGACAGGGGTTACACCTGTACAGGCTTCGTTCTGCTGATGGGAACGTCTTCTTAATGACTGGGTAAGGAGTCAAAGTATGTGGTACGAAATGATTAATGAAATAATTCAAAATTAGCATGATTTTCTGTCCAGCTCAGGGTCAATGAAACCTATGCTTTTCCAGGTCGTAATGCAGTACAGATCCAGATTAGGTGCCAGTGAGGTTACGTTCTCCATCTAAATTGCAGCAACTTTAGTTGAATAGTCCTGAAACGTTACTGCAACATAATAAAACTTATATGTAGCGATCTGCTACGTCAATGCAATGTTCTTTTGCAACATTCGAGCAAAGTTGACGTTTTGGCCATTTACACATTCAAGCAACATCGATCATCAACATTCTTAAAACGTTGCTGGAATGTTTTGTGTTACTTGGGATGGCGGGCCTCAGGTGAGTCTAGTCTTACAACAAAAGACTTCTGCTACATTCTGTACAATGGGGAGAAGTCAATTTCTAACATTATATACTCAGTCCCCGAATGCTAGCAGACCGCCTAATTGTGTGTGAACAGATGTGGGCCCTGACCTCACATCAAAGTGAATCATGAATGGTTCGAATTTGCAAGTGGTATTTTCACAGAGCGTTGTTGCCCGTAGGCCAGCTTACACGGCACCGGAAGATGAATTTGAGGTTGAAGACAGGTCTGGTTCGAGAGAAGCCTCGGCGCGAGTAAAGGTATCGAGGAAGGGGGATGCCCTCTCAATTGATCCTGTAGCAAGCTGGCAGCTGTCAGAGCAGAAGAGTTCAAGAGTATTTGTACCTTCTTGGACCCAGGACCTTCTGGAGTAGGTTGATAGCGTTCCTCTCTAACTGGAAACTTGGTGACCTTTAGAAACCTTTACAATCTGGACAGGACTTGGCCCCAATTTGGATTGTGTGCCCATATTGTGA